CTTCCAGGCGAGTACGCAACACCTACACTCCTGACTCCGGGCCTCCGCTCCAGAATCCCATTCACGTCCCCGTCTCCGGAACCTCCGGTCTTAGCTCCGACCTCGGACTTTGACCCCACCTCCGCTTATACCCATTGTATTGGTTAGCTCATTCCATTTAATTACGTTTGCCAATATTCCGGAGTTTAACTTCCGAGTTCGGACTTTCCGGACTTACCTCGGACCATGCAACTATTGCATTGTCCTATTCAATTCCGCTATTCTCCCTCATTCCTATTTGGGCTGCTGCTTCCTTTCTATTCAGTCAGCTAGCCATTCCCCACTCCCAACCTCCTTCCTTCCTCCTTGGGCCATGGCCCTTCATTCCTCCTTTGAGAAACACCATTGAGTCAAACCCTTGACCCTCGGTGTTGTTCCTCTTTCCATCTCCCTTTGTCTCCTTTCATCCTACCCTCGCTCCTTTTGATTCCGGACCCCTCCTTATATACAATGTACATAGTAACTTGTAACCTCAGTCCAAAATCGACCTGAATTCCCCCCAAGAGACTTTCCCTCTGCTAGATCTGAAATTAGGGACCCCCAGGACAACCAGCAATGGCACAGCGCTCCGCCTGAGTCGCTGAGGCCGAGGTCCTTCCATGCTAAGTCTCCGATTCCACTCCGGAGTCGTCTGAATCTGCCCGGTTCTAACACTGACCCCCAATCCTAATCTGGCATCTGGGATCGAAAATTCCAGATCATTGTCAGGGATCAGCAATGACCCTGGACCCTATGCCAGCTGTGTGTATGGGCGTGGGAAGTATGCTGGTAATTCCCATCTACTCCGCTTACCTAAGCCCCGGTGACCCGGATCATTTCCGGCATTGTTCTGGAACATTCTATGATCACGTGATTCTATCAGCAATCCGTTTGGTTTCCTTATTGCCGGACTCTACATGTATATAGCTGACCCTAAGATGGGGACATCCCTTTCCCCCGGCTTTAATCACAACTAGGTTATCGGAGCATCTTGCGCAAGCACACATGTCCCCTGACAATCATCCGGGATAATCCGATCCACCCAGAGCCCTAATGGCTTCACTCTCCGAGTATATGGCACAAGACCGAGCCACTGGATTCACACTGTTCCGACTTGATAACGCCCAAAATTTGTGTTTTGTGCCGGTGACGGACTTCACTTGGTGGGCATTTTTGGCCCCTACATCTGACCCACAGCGGCCTTATCACTATTTACTTAATGATATCATTGATACAGACATGTTTTTCCACTTGAACGGCTGGCATCCGCCAGTATCTAGTATTTCAGGTCCCTTGGCCAACTGATTTCACAATAATTTGCCTCAGTCGGAACATCATATAATGTATATTATGCCACACACCTCCGGTGCATGGCATTGGCCCCTGACATGGTTTACCGTCTTGGTACGGAAATTCGACGTTACAGTGTCTAAGTATTTACAATTTAAATTTTGCACCAAGCGTTGGAACGGACTAATAAGGCTTGAAATGCGTTGAGACCCTCTTAACACGTCAAAACAACATTCCGGGTTTTCCGACAAGCGTGGCGAGACACACGTGATCCTACAAGTACAAGGAAATTCCAGATAATAAGCAATAAGACGAAAACAGACAAGAAAGTTCACAGTCAGGGAAGACCAGATACTAATAATAATACACGGAAAATTGAGAACAGTTAGAATCAGGGAAGGAAATGGAAGCAGAGGAATCAGGAAAAAAGGAAGGGATACAGAAGCCAATGCAAACTGCACCCATAGGGTGGCGAAAGGGGAGGGGGTGGGAGATGCAAAACTAGTTCTGGGCATGGCAGCATTGGTGAAAAGCTCCCTTCTGAAGTTGCGATCGGATGGGTTGTTGTGTGTTGTTGGAGATGGACGCAGCTGCTGCCTGATGCCAGCATTGACCAGTGTTATTCTTATGGGGAGTTTTGGAGGGAATTGTGGAAGCAGGCAAAGAATGGTGAGGCAGTTCTCACTTTCACCTCTTCACAGAGGTGATAAGCTTGTCAGGTGGATCGGGGCTTGAGCTGCTTGAATTCGGCCAGGAGGTTTATGTTGATTCCCGAGTGTCTGTCTAACGCTAGGAGGTCTCGATGCATGACTGTCTTAGAGCCGGTTAGAGTGGAGAAGGTGTGGAAGATGTAAGTGAGAAAAGGGGTGTTACCGGGTGCTGCCAGCTGTTCGCCACCTCCAGAGGAACCCGCATCTCTGAGTCTCTGAAGGTGGTCCCTTTCTATTCCCCAAGAGCAGAAGAGGCTGGAGCCGTCGGTGTGATGTGAAATGCATCTCGCTGATTGAAACGCCCGCACTTGGAACACAGAGATCCTGAAAAATGGAGCGCACTGAGCCACTACCTGGCAACATCTTCTTGTGTTGGGGTATGACATCTAAATAAAACATCCGACACACGAACCTGCGGCTGTCGCTGAGTGGACAAATTGGAGAAAGGCTCGCAAGGGGGGTGATATCTTTGTGTGCTCCTTGTCCATTTGATTGGATATATGCCGCCACAGCAGAATGTAATCATGCTGACACAATGCCGGTGTGCTAGGCTCACTGTAAACAGTACCAGACACAGACACCTTGAGCTCCATCTGTGGAACGCATTCTTCATGAGGCTTCCGAAGCTGCACAGCGATAAGAACTTCAATTATGAGACAGCAGTCATTGATCCGAGATACCCAAGTCAATAAATTGCATGGGCTCGTTCAAAATTTATGCACCTACTGTCCGACAACGTGAGATCAAGGTGGAGTCAAATAGTAGCTGAAAGCCTGGCAGACCTAACGGTCCTCAGCAGCAGAAGAACGACTTGGTTTGAGCCCTCATATGACTCAAAACCAACATCGCAACACACCTGAATAGTTTTTGTACTCTCTCCATAACTTCAGAACACGTTCCTCGATGTGTCCACCCTCACCGATAATATCCCGATAACATGCAGAGAGACTGGCTTGTTTGGCACAAGTTGTACAATCCTGAGGTTTTGTCAGGGACAGCTCCGAAAGCGGCGAGGTCCCAGGGTGCGGGACTTGGGGGGACGGATAGCGGCTATGCGTAGCGGCGATCCCGTCGCGGGGTGAGCGTCCCCGACCACTTAGTCTGAAGTGGAAATGTGAGAAGAAGGCTACTTCTTCGGTTCCCACTCCAGCTGTTATTATATACATGCGGGAATGATCACGTGGGGTGCGCCACATCACCCTTGCACACAGCCACGGCTCTCCGGGTGCTTCCGCGGAAGATCCCGAGAGGGCCCACTGTGGGTGCAAGGCGAGTGTGGCGGCGGTGGTGGCGATATAGGGATGTAAGATACAGGAGGGGAGATGGGTGTGTGCGCTGGTGATACATTGAGCAGGGGGAAAGGTGGTCCATGTAAGAGAAAGAGAGAAAGAAATAAAGGAGGAAGGGAGAACAGGAGAAAGGAAGAGGGAGAGGAGGGAGAGGCGGTGCGGAGCGGGGAAGCGGAGCGGGGATCGGGTGGGGCATGTTGGGGCATGCCCTGACAGGTTTCACGTTTCAGTTAACAATAAGAGGGGAAATTTGCGAATGAGGAGCCATGGATATCGGCCAACTTGACTTGAAGTTTCACACATGCATCCTGAAAGTGTGGCAAGGATAGAAAATGGTGAAGTAGAATTTTAATACCTTCAGTGTCGATGACATGACAGCAAGATTGACAAATCTGTTGAAGGTATTGCTTGCCGAAAATTTCGATGTCTTGGTCACATGTCAGGGCATGCCCCGACATGCCCCGCCCGATCCCCGCTCCGCTTCCCCACTCCGCACCGCCTCTCCCTCCTCTCCCTCTTCCTTTCTCCTGTTCTCCTTTCCTCCTTTCTTTCTTTCTCTCTTTCTCTTACATGGACCACCTTTCCCCCTGCTCAATGTATCACCAGCACACATGCCCATCTCCCCTCCTGTATCTTACATCCCTATACCGCCGCCACTGCCACCACACTCGCCTTGCACCCAGAGCGGGCCCTCTCGGGATCTTCCGCGGAAGCACCCGGAGAGCCGTGGCTGTGTGCAAGGGTGATGTGGCGCACCCCACGTGATCATTCCCGCATGTATATAATAACAGCTGGAGTGGGAACCGAAGAAGTAGCCTTCTTCTCACATTTCCACTTCAGGCAAGTAGTGTAGCCTTCCCTTTTAATGATGACTCACATTTCCACTTCAGACTAAGTGGTCGGGGACGCTCACCCCGCGACGGGATCGCTGCTACGCATAGCCGCTATCCGTCCCCCCAAGTCCCGCACCCCGGGACCTCGCCGCTTTTGGGGCTGTCCCTGACATCGCAACATATACTAAGTCTTACATGTGGGTTTGGTTCAGCCAGCATTGCCCCGTTCGGAGGGAATGCATGTGGTTGCATGATAATTCAATATGGGGTAATAGATGTGGTCAAACGGAGTTGGCACTGCCACCACCAAACGGACCAGCCCTCATGCAGGCCTTGTGCAGATGCGCTGTTTGGGTTACTAGGGGATGCTGCTTGGGGGAGATGACCCATGCCGGCATACACGAGTTAGAACCAGGGGCTTGTTGTACACACACCGATTATTTATATTGGAACCCTGACATCCATCAAATACAATGTGCGGCTCCGATTAAGGCATGCGCAATGTCCCAGAGCGCCACCTAGTCCCTGTACCATCTGCCAGACACTGCGAAGAAATCAAAGGGGAAAATGAAGGGAGAACGAGCTTGTGGTTGGTCCTGTAGGTGCAGCCATGCCACAGAGGAGACGGGGGCCGGGATAGTGGAGGATCCATTTGAATAACATGTCAGCTCCATTATACAAAACTGCAGTGCAGATGGTGGGTTGAACGGCGCAGGAATGCACAAAACGGTGTAGATACAAACCTCTCCCCTAAAGTTTGTTTAATAAATCAAATCTGATCGTTCCGATGCAAATTTTGAAGGAAATTTTCCGTTTCCACCTAAATGGTGAACAGCCCTAGAACAAGATACCAGCTCAGAATGCCCCCTCCCTTGCCGGATGCGTCTGGTGACGCATCAAATGCATCAATTCTCACGTTACGGGCCAATTTTTCCAACAGCCTGACTTTGTTGACAACAGCGCCCTCCGTGAATGACTTTCTGAAGGCTACAGATGGCCCTTTCGCCCGTCTGAGGAGCCTGGTTGGACAACACACTTCCATGAAAGATATGCCACAGTTCCAACCCCTTGCCCCCCTTGAGGACGTTGTAAAGAACATTGTGCAAGAGCTATGGGGGCACACCTCCGTCAAGGCAGTCAGAGGTATTGGGAATATACTTGATGAAGCATCCATCATAGACGACCTCAGCTTTGAAGGTGCATTATTTTCCTCACTGCTCAAACTGTTTAGAAGCTCTCAACACTGTGCAGTTTTCATGGAGACGTGTATGGCCACGTATGCCCAGAAAAGGGGGAAGTCCCCCCGCTCTCATAACGCGACTGATACAGGCCAAACCGCTTGGCAGACATGGCTTAAGCTTCACTGTAGGTTAACAATATGCTCACAGCTCATCTTAGAGACTAATCATTTCTCAGCGGGACTCGATAGCCAAGATGCAGCAAGCCTCCACAAGTCAGAGCATCTGGAAATCGAGGAGAAGTATCCAGACAGGGCGGACGAAGCGAAAGCCTTTTATGACAAAGTTCTGGTGCATTATGGAGACATTATTTTGTCTAAGGACGAAAGAGAGACCCAACCTAATGAAAGTCTCCACCTGCTTCAGAAAATGACAGGAAAATATGCAGCACAGGTGAAGTAGATTAAGCGGAGCAGTTATAGAAATCAATCTAACTACATGTTGTCGTGATAGGTCTGCGCACTTAGTTCCACCCATCCCATTGGCGTCACTGTAGTGGGATTTGTAGCGGATGAGACCGTCCCCCCGGAACAGTCCACAGTAGCTTTCACCAGCTCACCGATTATGGCAGAAATGGTAAAGGCTATGGGTCTGCCACTCACCGAGGATGCAGCCCTTGCCATAAGGAATCTGTATGATGGCATAAAGGCTTTCAGGTATGCTGCACAAGCACAGGAAAGTGCAGATAGCTTACTTGTAATTCTTTTAGCCCATACCAACCCGATATCAGCAAACAGAGGTATGAGCACCTCGTCCTCATGGTCCCCATCAGCTGAAATTACTGCAGAAGCTTCCTTTGTCATCTTCGTGCCTTCACGAACCCGGACAAGTCCAACAATGAGGAGTTTGGCGCATCAGGCCTGATGAAATCTGTTGTAGCAACTGCCAGGCAAAGTGTCCATTTCCATGATAGCCTGGACAAATACCTGACGGTGAAGATGGAGGCCATGGACGAAAACGACATCGATTATCATACACCGATATTGAAAAGGAAAGATGGCCTTGTGTTAGGTACGGGTCAGCAAATGGGGACGACTGGCGGGGACAAGGCTCCGGGGTTGGGCTTCGGCCTCAGCAACTCCAAGAGAGCGCTGTGCCCACCTACTGTCTCAGTGCCCACATTTCGAAGTGGCTTGGGCTGCCTTGTTAGGGGGACAAACCATGTCGATATTCAGACTAAAGTTATAATAATGTAATATACATATATATATAGTAAGGAACTGAATGAGTCAGGTGACAAAATGAAACAAAAGGAAACAGAATAAGGGCCGGCATCTGGGTCAGAATGCATGGTCGTGAGACCTTGCCATGGCAGACAAGTCATATGGCCCACATAGCCGATGCCGCACTGAGGCTGCTGCGTGGCTTAAAACAATGATATGTACATCCTACTTTGACAGAACACTTCACATTGCCTATCTGATATCTGGTGTCAGAGGAGGCAACATGTGTAAGTGAGCTCGGGACCGACTGGAGGGTTGCAAACATATGTACTTCCATTCTTACTTGAGCATCATCTCCGTTTTGCCAGCTGGCATCACGGCGTCCGACGTTTGAACGAGTCGCTCCCTTGTGATTGGACCCCACATGAGTCTGCTCGGGGTATGATGCAGCTCTACCACTCCGACCCTGAACAGAAATTGAGAATCGAGACAATGACAGAAGGTAAGGGAATGTCAGTGAAGTTCCAAAGGGCACAGCTGATGGGTTACGACTCACCAGAGGAGTATGAGAAGCGTGAGGTGCTCTATTACTGTTATAGGAATGGAGTCTCTCATGACCGTGTCGACTGAACGTCCACCACAGCGGGCCCTCCTTCTCCATATCCTCCCTTCTCTTTGTTACCTTCTCCCTGCTTCCCCCTTCCTTACACGTTCACTCCGCACTAAGCTTTCCCTTATCGGGTTTTGGTGCTGGCCGGAATATTTATTCTATTTCACAAGATTTCTCGCGATCATTTCTTATTCAATAGTTAGCGTCACGTTTATGTACGGTGAAGGAGAGAACGAAGGAAGGTCAGTTGGGAGGTTCAAACGAGACCACCACCAAGCTGTTCCCTGGTTCTTTAGTTAGGATGGGGAAGTGTACTAGTGTTATTTATTGTAAATATAGTACCAATCCGAGTGTTTTGGCTAATTCTATTTTTATGGGTTAGTTTTAAAGTTCCTGGGACTTGACTTACAGATAAACCGAGCCCTGCGGAGCTGTTTCTTTATTGGAATTTATTAATTTGTCTAGGTGTAATTCTGTGTAGCGTTGTTTAATTTGGATTTAAACTTGAATTTAATCTTCTACTTGGTGAAGTTTCAAAGATTCTATTCAGTTAATGAATTTGGATTGTGTCTGGAGTGTCCCTTGAGTTTGTTTTATTTTTGTCTTATTTTATTGCTTGTTTTAACAGTAGCAAAATAACTGTTTTGTGTTTACACTTTGAAATCTGGAGTGTTAACCAGCTCTCCTCTTGAAATATCTACTTAATATTTCTCTCCTTTATTGCTGCCTTTTCCTACAGTGGCAATCTTAACTGTATATCACTTTTTCGCACTGGAGTGACAACCAGAAATGCTTGAGAAAAATAATACTCTATTTTCTTACTTCTCTAAGGGGGGCGAAAAGTCGCAGAAAGGGTCTCCCTTTTATACTCCTTGGGTCGCCTTCCTTTTTCACGCTCTACCTTCTATTTACAGGATTTATTTACAGTGTATTTTTCTCAAACTGAATAAAAAATGAAATTTTCATGCTATAGTTCTACTGCGCTTATGCTGCGCTGAACTGCGGTTCTACTGCGGTCAGACTGCACCTAGAATTCTTATTGTCCTCCCTCGCCTAAGCTATTTTAATGGTTAATTGGAACTTGACTGCGCTGTATTTGTCGCAGTTACCTATTTCAAATTCCCTATATATACCATTAAATTTGCTATGACTCGATGATTCTGAATTCAAACTTCGCATTATTATGCGTACGGCTGTGCTGAGACCTTCAGCTGATTTATTCCAATTTTATTTAGTGACATTTACTTAAAATGAGACTGAAATGTTAAATGAGTGAATTATTCAGGTTTAAAACTGAAAGAAAAAGTTGCTAGTAGTCAAGAATTACTCAAACGAATGTGTTATAGCTCTCCACTTCATTAGAACATCGTTCCCTCAAATTCCCACCATGGTCTGTCGTAGTTTAGTGGTTTTCGTGAATTTCGTTCATATTCCCTGATTCCCTTTGTATTATCACATTCTAATCCTCCATATGTATTGTTGGTTGTTATAGTAGGTTGTCCTTGAAGATATCATATTTTTATCTATTTTATTTAGGACTCTGGACCTCTTGAAGCTGTCTTCCCGCGCGTTTTCAGGTTTCTAACTTCATGTCCTTGTATCTCATTCATTTCTGGATGTTTTCTCACGTTCTTGGTATCATAAAATTTTATTTATTCCCACCTTTCCAATGGTACTAAGATTGTGTCCTATTTCCTGGTATTCGTTGAGTTAGCAAAGATTCGCGCGCACATTCGGTAATCACGTGTGTCGTTCCCATAGTCGTTCATATGCGGGAGCCGTTTTCGTTTAATTGTTCGGGATTTATAATATGCATGGGTGTTTATTTCTTTCATATGGGCTTCTGTGATTTATTTCAGATTTTTCCCTCATGATCTAAGGTTGTTTTGCACTTTCCGTGCTTTGTTTTGACCGGGCTCTTCCTTATTTGGACGGAAATTGGTCTTCGCGATCTGCCGAAGTGCGGATCTCGGTTCCGATGGCCGGTTCCCTGCGCATCGCCACCCTCACGTGTCATTACACATGATGCGGATTTCTATATTCCCGTCATGGGTATAGCTTCACAACGGCTGGACCGTTTGGGCTGAAAATTTGCATATCTATAGTTCCCCATTTTTAATAATTTCTGTGTAAATTTCGTTGTATATTTTAATTATGGATCCTATGCAAACATCGTCTTTTCCCTGAGCTCGGACTTTTGATGTCGCTATTCCCGTTATTGGATATCTCATTAACGCATGATCCTTTTATTATGAAACTTTGGGAGGATTAAGTTTAGATCCCTTCCTTTCTAATGGGCTATCAAGCTTGTCTCGGTCGTTACTAGTTAATCTTCGTGCTTGCCTTTTAGACATTGTCCTCGTTTTGCAGGAGTTTTAGTCATATCTCCGTCGTTTACGGGTAGTTTCCCCTGTAATTACTCTCATTGGGTCCGTTTGGGAGACATCTACATTTCCTATTATAAACACGACTTTGACTTTTTCATTAGTTCCTGAGGAATCTTTGTTCCGTGGTACTTCCATCCTTGGCTACGTGTGCGGACGTGGGAAAGTAGTTTTCGTGGAGGTTCTCTGGTTATTTTTATAGTCAAATCTTGGTCGATTGTCCTAATTCTTGGTTTAATATTTGCTATAAATTCCCCTAAGAATTCCGTCTCGTTGGTGGTAAGCTTGAAGTATTTTTGCTATTTTTCTTTCTTTCGATTTATCATGCATAGTCATAATAATTCGTAAAAATTCGTAAAATTCGTTAAAATTCAGGTCCTTCTATTTTCTCATATCTACTTGTCGTATGAGGTTTTGTGATTTATCTGGCATATTTCCATAATGGGTTTCCATAGTGTGGCCGTTATTTCTCCTACAGCGCATCGATTAATCTTATCCTTATAACTGATGGACGCCGCCTGAAGCGGCAATACCCGCTACTCCCACATCGATGCAGTGTCGCAGCCCACTTAGAAGTCACTCTGGAGCCGTCTTTGCACGCCATGGTACTAGGTGGTACTACAAATGTAAAATATCGTTAAGTTTTAAATCAGGACCGCACCCCCAGTCTGCATATACAACCCCACTGACATTATGAACCTGAATTGAACGCCACAGCAGTATAACACTCCAAGACTGGCGAAGGAGTTTATGTGATATTATTTGGTTTCGGTGAGTAAATACAAGCAAAATGTCACGACAGTGTTCGAGAGAGGGAGGTGATTGGTTTGTCAACAGCAAGGAGAGCAATGCAGATGGTGTGTAAAGCGCGCGTGAAACCTGAGAGTAGGCAGGAACCTGAGAGGACAGGAAGGTAGTCAAAAAGAAGATGGAAAAACAAATCACAAGAGGGATATTGAGAGCGGTGCGCAACACATGCACCTTGAGTAACAATCGCCGGTCAGGGCATGGCGTAGGAGCCAATTCCATTGATCGTTGATTGACAATGAAAAATCATATAGGCCGTGAGCGATCGCTTCTTTGGTTAGATGAAAATTGCAATCAGCTTCAGTGGTAAGGAGTTTAAATGGCCAGGGGCCACTTAAAAAGGCTCGGTGTGGAGAGGACGCCATAGTGTGGAGCAAGAGTTTGGGCAGGAAGGAAGTGCAGCGGGAGGGTTGGAGGATTTGGGCAGGAAAGAGTGGGAGGGTGGAGGTTTGGGTGTAGGGCCAAGTGGTGAGTTAGGATCCGCAGCGGTGAGGGACAACTTGGGTTAGCTCGGTAAGCAAGTTGAGGTAATCTGGAGTGTCAGAAAGCTGAGGTAAAAAAGGGAATAACCAATAACGGTGCTCAGGTATTCAGTTTGTGCACGCAAGACCCGCTACAGAGTAGTGGGAATTTCACACGACTACTTTTGCTCCCTCAAACTGGATGGCCGAGCTTCCGATGTGGCCCATTTCTCACGGGGTGGCCATGCAGGTAAAAAAAATCGAACCCCCTCTGGAAACAAAAGCCTCGCAAGCTCTGCCAACAAGCTCCGCCAATCATGATGGTATCTAGCGCTGAATGGTGCCGCATGGTCCTGCGTTTTTTCAGCACTGATGGGACCTTGCGGGTGTTCACTAGTTGAGAGAGGGAATGGGTATCGGGGCGATCAGGTAGAGGCGGGCCCTAAGGTTATTCAATTAAAAGAAGTGAGTTGAAGAAAAGTAGATTACGCACTGTGTAAGCTAGCGGTGGACTGAAAAGCATTGGGGGATTGATGAAGGGTAACGATCAATAGTAATTGGAGGGCCCCAGGATATCCTCAAAATAGCCTGCTGCAATTACCACACCGATACTTGATGTACACCCCCTCGTGCAGGAGTTCCATCTCAAAGAGTGCTTCGAACTCCTCAGTTACGAAAGCGCTTGCCTCAAGTCCAACGTTTTGACTAGGCTGAGAGGACAATCTTGCTAGCTCTTCTGCTGCTGCCAAGATATACCGTTTCCTAGCATGGAAGGTGGTCAATTCTTCCTTGAGGCTCCAGTTGCTGCCTTCTGGTAAGCCAAAAAGTGTGAGGTCACTGCAAGCAACCTTTGCGATCTTGCACACGTCAGGATGCAAATCTGTCAATTGGTACGCATGTGCAGTACCCTCAGGCAGGACTGACTGAAGGACCTCAGCCATCGTGTAGGCTGCAGAGGATGGTTGGCAATGATTGCTGTTGGTCAGCACATACCAGTGTGGAACTTGTTGGCAGCAGAATCTCAGAGGCTGGCTATTTGGATCCCATGCATTGTTGCATGGGTTCTCACAATGGTTCTCGATAGGCTAAGCAGTGGTTCAGTAATGGGTCAGGGTTTGGCTAGGGTGCTTACATGAAACCCTTCAAGTCCCTCTTGGAAGAACCGGCTTAAAAAAATTGCGTAAGACCCTGTTAGTAGCTCTGGGCATTTCAGGATCCTTACATCCAAAACCAACCCTCATAGTAGTGAGGGACTATGTTCCCTGCCTGTGCTTCAGAGAAGGCTTGGCGATCAAAGATAGATTGGATAACAGGACATGAATCTATCGGTAGCTCATAGCAAACCCGAGGCGAAAAGTTAGAAACATACGTTTGATGTCCCTCCAAGACCAGACAATGGAAACCCCCTTGAGCTGAATTAGCTCACCAGGGTAAATGTCAAATGAACTAGGGGAGAATAGGTGTGACTTGCTTCTCTCCGCAACGTGCTCAAGACTTACGAGAGCTGCTCATGAAGCTCTTCTGGAACTCCATTGGCAGATGCTGAGATTTCGGCATCCCAGTAAACCTCCAATTCCACTAGCTATGGGTGGTATTAGCAATTAGTAGAGGTTACGATGATGATTCTTGCCTGATCCTCATCCTCGTCCTCATCCTCAACAACATAGTGTCAGCCAGGAGTGCTGGATTGACTCAGAGCACTCACGGGTGGGGGCCTAATACTTATTATCTTCCCCTTTCCGCCAGTCTCCACCAGAGTCTTTGCAAAGTCTTCGTCTTCACTCAACGTGGAATCGTCCATCCAGTAGACACTACAGGAGGCTCAGCTACACCCTCACATATCGTAGAGCAAGGGCTCACAATTCGCCCACCTGGTATTGAAATCCCACCCCTCCTTTCTTCCACCATACTGGACCTAGCCCAACGTCAGTCAAGTGCACTAATACGAAGCTTTTTCATTTTCACCATAAAACGAGTCTTCACTTGGCTGCTCTGACATGGGTGCAAGGAAGAGCGGGATCGATCGGTTCGGCCAATGCCGACAGCTCCTTGTTCTGTGTGCAATAACTCTTGCCCTCAACACACACCCTTTCTCTGGAAATGGACTGCGAACGACAAGGCCACCCCACACCCAACCTCGTCCCAAGAGGTACTGATGCGACCTCTTTTTGACAGGCCCTGTTCTCCACGTCATGTAAGTCGACCGAAGCAACCGAACGTATAATCCCCAGGGATGACAGCTCAGAAATATACTTCATCCGTTCTCCACCACATCGTCGGATCTCATCTACCTCCTAGCCACAGCTCACTCTTGTGAGGATTGCAATCGCCCCTTGGCAGTGCAATCTCTACAGGCACAATATGGCCGGGCTCAATTGACTTGGAATCCGCATGATTCTCATGCACACATCTCTCCAGATGCGTTGTTACGCTCTAAAAACCTTTCCCACATGCAATCCACATGCGTGTAACTCTCAAACACGCGCCTGCATTGATTAGGTCGTTTTCACGCCAAGTTCGCGCGCTTGTACCTGCTCTGCTTACTTCGCTCGTGTTCACGACTCCCCAGGCCCACACTCATGACCTCTGGGCCATCCACCCACAACTTCCATGTCCACACGCAGGAAAACATCATGCCCACACACGCTGAGAAGCTCGCGCTAGTCCTGCCCCATGCGTTATTCACATGCTGACGGCATTCTACACGTACATTTGCACCTTCTAGGCACACTCCCACATGTGGCGGTTGAGCAATACTGGTAGACACCTGAACGCAATATGTTGAATAGACTAGTCAATTAGTGACATAGCGCTTGGCGGCTACACTCGTGCTATAACGAAGGGACCTGAGGTAAGACCAAAAGATGATTATTATTTAGCCTAGCTAATCGTGACTTGTATTCCAACAATGAAGAAGGGATAGACGCCCTTGCCAGAGGCTGCTGTTATTTGGATGATCGCCACATTGGTGGATTTCTGCATGCGAATATATCGACGCTGAGATCCTGTGGTACGGTCCATGACCTTGTGCCTTGCTAGACGACAATGGATCTATACGCTCCTGCTGCCATTCATGAAGACACCTTGCTCAGCCAGGGTTGAGGCCCTATAGGGGTACCGATTTTGCGCTGCTAAGCCTACCTAAGAGGTGGTTTTTACCAAGGGGCCCCAAGATCAATGTGGGGGCCCCTTGGTAAAAACCACCTCTTTGGCGGGCTTAGCAACGCAAAATAGGCGCCCTGAAAAGACAGTGAATCAATTAACATGTAAATAAGTAGCGTAAATGTAATCGAAGAATGAAAGGAGTTGGACAGAGTGAACAGATTATTCAGGTAACGTAAAAGTGAGTAGAAAATGAAGGAATAGGGCGAGTGAAGAAATGAGCAGCCAAACAACAGAACAAATGAGGAGGCAAAGGGACATCTCTATGCCCTAAGACCAAGCGAAGTCCCCCAGACCATCAAAACTCACGTCTGTAGTTTGGTGGTGAGTCAAGGTTGGAATACCAGTCCCGAAGGTCAGAGTGAAGATGATCCAACACTATGTTCGAACACGATTTCAATTATCAATGAGCTAAATAGTAAGAATCGGAATACATACATGAAGTCAATGGCACGAATTATGTTATTCACCTTCCCCCCAAGCATGGCGTCCGCCGTGTAGCCATTGCCTGCTAGCCACTGGAGAATTTCTATAAAGCCATCGAGGCCGTGAGGACCGAAATCTGATTCGCCAACTTCTGAATAGCCCCCGGCCGTCCCATAGCCCAAACTCCGAAGTGCTGGTCAAGTCATGGATTAATTTCCCCCTCCCATGCATCCGCGGGCATTGCATATAATGATAAGGTGTGCACGATCGACGTGATGCTGTATTGTCCAAAAACTGAACCTGGAATCCCTCCAGGGGTGGAGGATGGATGTCGCTTCGCTGCATCACGAAGTCGAGATATATTCGCAAAGATCGCAGGGGGAGTTACTGGGGTAATATTCGTGGAAGGACCTGGAACTGTCCTCGCTTCCACTGGGGCGGTTCTGGAGTCAGAGACGACTCGGGAGCGAGTGGGGTTACTCTTCTTCGGTGCGGAACCACTGAGGGCCCGATAATCAGGGATGGTCCGAGTACGGCCGCTTCGTTCGCAAAGCATGGGTGCTTGTTGTGGTCGTTTTGGGGAACTGTCGGAGCTCATAATTAAAGGATTCTGTGGAAAACATAATCAATTGAGGTACCACACTTGGCATTTTGGTCAACGTATGTTGAGAGGTATCGTCTATACGATGGGTCTTAATAAGAAATCCAGGAAACACGCTCTTCTCGTGCTTGGAAATGGGGATGCGTTGAGGTTGAGTGCTCCACCCTCCTTGCCAGCCAGAACGATTTGACCTTGCTTCACTCGACGAAATATGGGCAGACTGAACGCTCCACCCTTCTTGTCAACCAAGAAGAGCACAGACACTTCAATAACGTGTAACCTCTATGAGCAGCTCGTTCCTCCTGCGAAAGAGCAGAATGACCAAGACAGCTTCAACCTTGTGTTCTGAGATAGAGTAAGAGGCTAGTGACGAATGAGATTCAGGCCATGGCGGCTTTGAGGAACTCAACTCACCGCAATGCGCTACACAAACAACTATACAGTTTGTTATGTAATCAATGCGTCGCTAGCGTGACCTTGCCTGCATGTGATGCCAAAAATGTATATATTATAATAATAATATTACAATATAGCAATATTATAAAAGGAGTACACGTGGGAGATACAGAGGAATGTGACGTTGCGGTGGAAAGGCACACGTGCAAGGGAAACATGGTGGGAAAGAGAACACATTATGTAATTGTGGACTCCAAAGTGACCATGCAAGCATGGAAATGACACGAATACACAAGGAAGAAAAACAACCACATCAAATAAGATGAGTCCACGGCTCGGAGACGTGCTTCATGTAGCGAGGCCTACCAAGATTCAGTTCAAGCACGATTTGCCAATTATTACCCTTAGGGTGATATTGAAGCATTTCCACACTCGACTCGATGATACGCGGTTCTTCAGCATTCCTTGTCATCTCTTCGTGAGCCCAGCGTGCAACACGGTGAATAACACCATCCATAGGGCCTGACGTTGGCCACATAGGCATGGAGAATTTCAACAGACCTTGACTCTGGAGAGAGTGGGCACCAATAAGAACCTCAAAACGATGGAGTTCAGTATCGGAAGCCTCCTGATACACTCTAGATTGTAGCCAGGCAGCTGAAAACGTGATGCATTGCATAGGACGTGTACGATCATTTTCGTTGGGGGGAGGGTGTTGGTACGGGACTGGGGAACGAGGGGGGGATACTTTTCGTACTGAAGGAACGTGTGAAGATGATTCGCCTTGTTCGCCTTCGGAGGTGCAGTACCGATGATAGCTGGAATATCAGCATGCTTGCGCGTAAATGCCATATCCACGTATAGCAAATCCACTGTGGATGTGTAATTAAGGAGCGAGCCGACATACATATCTGATGAACAAGCTCTTCCCTCCGAACGCAACTTGTCAGCCATTCCATCACGATCAGCAAGACGCTTAAAGAGCAGCTCCATAGACGGTGGCTCACGACACCCGTTCTTCCTCGCACGATGCGCTGCATAGACTCCTTGGGCACTGCACTTTTCCAGCCAGAGCAACTCCGGGTCCTGAACCTCATCTACCACAAGGCGATACCAGTGGCCTAGAGGTACCACAGGCCAACGTGCTGGAATTGATGAGCTGAGCATGCCAACTGACTGCGAGGGAGCAGCCACATGGCCACCCTCATTCAGTGGCGAAGCACGATACCCAATAGTCACAAGAGGACGCGTCGGCTCCCTCGCCACCGCAATCTTGGCAAGGCCACTGTCTGATGCCTTCTGGCTTTCATTGTTCGGCCTTGAGAATGAACCCACGGATTGACTGCCCTTGCTCGGCAATGTGGCCAGTGGTGTCGCCACATTTGGCAGAGGGAGGTTCCCAGCGCAGCCAGTGGGGAGGCAGCGACACAGCTGCCCCAGGACGCATCGGCCTCCTCACCGTGGAATTGGCACTTTTGACGAAGTCGTTGTCTGACGCCCTCGAGGCGGCAGAAGTGAGAGGAACACCATGACTCGGCGTTGTACCATGTCTGGATGGGATGGGATTCGGCAATGGAAAATGATTGAGCGGAGGGCGACCGGAGGGTCGGGAGCTAGTCACAGATCCGGAAGATGATTTTGGTCCTTCACTGTGTGTCATGCACTCCTCGAGCGGGATCTTCGACAATGGTGATGTTGGGCGTGAAGGATGGTCGACAGGGGTTGAGGAATCCGAAGTCTCAATACGAATGGGGTCAAAACAAGTGTCTCCTGGAGACAACCTGGAGGCGGGGGTAGGAGGTGAAGGAGACAATGAGACAATAGCTGGTGGATTAATGCGGCCGATGGACACATGATGGCACTTGGAACCTTTGTCAATATTATTCGTCTCAAGGTCCGTTGCAGGCCCCATGCGGACGTCTTCACGCTGCAACGGTAATCCATCTCAACCATCATCCCGATGTCCATCATGATCCCATAATTTCGGCTTCTTTCGAGGGCGTTTGGCAAACTCTCGATCAGGTCTGTACTTATGCCAATTGCTGACGATATGGTAATCATGGGCCGACAGTTGCCTCTTCTTTTTCCCATGTCCTCGATCCCAAATCCCTTGGCATCTTTCAATGGCATCTCTGTCGTCGTCCCGCACATCTTGCAAGAGTTGGCAGGCAGCATCCACACTCCACCGCTCATCTGAAAACTTTCGAGCCGCCACAGTCACCCTTTCTTCATAATCGGACGAGTCCTCATCATGTTCCTGACGGGGAGGCTCGAAATGAGGATAAAATTCGTCGTCGCTAGAGCCTCCAACACTATCGCACCAGGTACGCACTGGTTTAAGTGTAGGGGAGGATGGACGCCGCGGCAGAGGGGATGGAGGAGGCATGACAGGAAAGAGGTTATGGCCGAAAAAAGATTTAATCAACCGACACGGTTCCCCTTCTGTGTAAAGCGGATTATGGCTAGGATAAAGTACGTCTGCAAGGGCCAATTCCATCGTGATTGAGGGGTCCCGTAAACCAGGGTAGCCATGGGTTGGCCTGATGATCCAGGGTATTGGGTGAGCAGGTGTGAACTTGAGCTGCTTGAAAATGATGCCCCTTGGCCGTACTGCTGGAAGGGATGCAGACTGAACTGCCATCGCGTAAGTTTTAAAATCCGTCCCACACCGTGGCACGAAATCTTGCCGAAGACTACCCCCACTCCCGATGACCTGAACACCGAAAACAGGAACACCGTGACGGGACAGCATTTCCATTCTTGTCCTCAACGATGGGCAGTCGTCTGCGAAAGGGAGTTCAAACACAACACCTATCAGCTTGTCGTCCACACCCAAGAAATAATCACCATCGTGTTCACGAAGGAGCCGCTCGATGTGACAATGACAGTACCATCGACCAACACCACCCAACTCGTACGCAAATGTAAGCACTTCATCTACGTTGTTGACTAGCCCTTCAATATTCCCCCCCATACGCCTCAACCTATCCTTCCATTGAAAGGATTCTGCAGTCAGCCCATCCTGAGTTCGAGGCATTGGCACGCATTGTTCCACTAACGAAAATGTGTTCCGGATCGCATCCCACCACGAGAATAGGTCGAACTGAGACTGTACAAACGCTTCGACCTGGAGAATATATTCATTGCTAAGACGTTTTCCGCCACGGTGGTTTTCGACGACCAAGGGACCAGGAAGTGGGGGATCAAGTGAAGTGCGACGAATGAATGGACGATACAGTGCATTGTGTGAGAACACGAGAGGCACACGAGAGATTGACGACCAGTAGAGGGAGGGAATAGGGGGAATTTTTGGATACTGAGGGGCATTGTGTATCTTTCTTCGCTCAGCAGGGGTACAATCGTGATGAAGGGTGAAGGGATAAACGGGTTGCTCGACATGGTTCCCAAGAAAGCGAAACTCCCTCAGAGTGTTAGCGTAACGAAGTATCCATGTGTGAGTGAGAAAGTCTCTGGGTGGCTTTGTGGTCCGGATACCTGATGGGTCATCAATGACAAATTGTTTTTCAAGATCAAAGGAAAGGAACGTACCTGCCTGTATACGAACAGCCCATTATTCCATACTTCGGCATGTAGTGCTGGAAGGCCCTACGGGCTCCCATTGTACGAATGTCCCAGACGTGGTCCAGGTCAGTGCAGTATCAAACCCAATTCCCTATTAGTAATTCAATACACGTTCGAGAACACCACCCCCAATCGCACCATTTCAGTTGGTGTTTCAACCAGGTGGGGACCTATCGGTCCAGCTGGAACAGCAGGCTCCGTGGTTCGGGAGCATGCCGCATCACAAGCTGAGCTTGGGCCGCAGGGACAACTCGACGTCTGGTTCCGTGACATGGGAGAAATGAATGGGTTTAGACTTTGGACGCAACAAATTGACCAATTCAAGAGACAAACCATGGCAGTCATGTGTCGGTTCAAAAATGGCAGCAAATGAATGGTGAACGGCCGGTAAATCGCATATTCGGGACAATAGAGTTGGAACACATTAAATAATTGGACGACAAACATAATGGTTCAGCGAGACATGTTGGAAATCAAACGCGAAAAATGCTGTAAGGTTTCGTCGGGAGACGAAACTCATCGCTGACTTCAGGGGAGTTCATTGCCCAAACAGTGCCATAAGGGGATAATTGGGATAAAATCCCATATTTTCTCCACGCATTCAGGTCTTTCAACTCCATGTTGGAGGGGGACTTAGTCTGGGCGGGTGGAACGATCGAAAATGACGGTGAAGCGGATGCATCAATCCCTTCCATCGTGTCCGCATATTTGATGCGACCCTCTTGAATCGTGAATTGTGGAAAAGCCCAAAACACATCTTGGTAGCCTAGTCGCAGTGCAAGCAAGAATCATAATGCATTCACACGAACACCACCACAGTATCATACGTACCTGCTGCCTCTAGATTCTTCACACTTTCAACCTTGCAGATAGAAACGCTCCAATCCGACTTGTGGCCAAGATTGTCTTCTGGAAACTGACATCGACATGTTCCGAGCAGTTCATTTTGCCACAGATGGTCTAATGGCAGAATGAGCTCGCAGACCATCAAGTCCCGTACCTAAAATCCGAAGTGACAAAGAAACCTGATCTTTGGGCCAATTGGCATACCTCAGGTTTAAACCAAGCACCATTCAAGGTGACATGGTTCTGGGACACCCAGGCATCGAGGAGCAACAGAGGTGAAGGCACATCAACACCTGGCAAGGTGAACCACGGGGGCATGCCCTTTATGGAAAGAAGCTTGGAGACAGTCGAAGTTACAATGGCAGGCTTCTTTTGGAAGCGCGGGAGGGTCCTCTTAGTCAGAAACATGCAGTTGGATGTCGGGTCTATGTGCGTGAGATATGAATGATGTTGTATAGATGTCGTTGGAGTAAACGGAAAATCAAACGAAAATGACACTGCCACGCAACCGTTTGAGGCTCAAGTAAAGGATGTGGCATAGGGTCAATGATTTACTCCGAGTTGACGTCTCGTTGTGCTTTGCGCCAACGCTATGTTGCCTTGTATTGCTGGTACTGGACCCGGGGAATATTTGGTTTAGTTATCCTCTGTACGTGTGCAGTGATTCCCTTTTTAGAGGCCGTAATGAGTGTTCACACAACATCACCAACACAGACTTTAGCCTGAATCGGACGCCCACACGTCATGCAAACGGTGAGCCTTTTCTCCTGGGTGTCCCTTGCACGGGTGCAGGGCTCATGTTAGCTGGCATATCTGTAGCCCCCCCCGACTGACCATGGGCGTACACTATTCCGAAGGCCCAGGCCTTCTTTCTGAAGTGGTTCTACACGATGCATGGGAGTGTTGGTCTCACTCGAAATGACGTCGACGTTGTGAAGGACGAAACCATCTCCGAGAACTTTGCTGAGGTCTACCACAGTTGGCTAGCACAGTGTAAGTCAGCAATCTGACAACAGTGTATCCGTTTTCATGTGTTACCTGGTGAAGTACGACATAGAGCTGAGCCGGTGTGCGAGCGAATTGACAAGGGAGTGATGCTCAACGAATTTGGCCATCAGTTGAACCGAATTGCCTCATGTTGCGTTGTGAGCGCAGATGACGGGCGCGGTATGTAGTATTAGGAACATCCTACCCGAATTATCTCACGTTTTGGGATTTCCAGATTCGTGTCCTGGACCTCATCGGTCAGCCTTCGATTTTAATCTCTGAACCTCTTCGTCAAGGTCCGACCATCGTCATGGGATTGCCTGGCATAATGCAGAATGGAGGTTGGGAACCATTTCGCCAAGAAGTTCTAGCTAAAGTCTCAGAGTTAAGGATGAATGATCATCGTACCGCATGCAGCACTGCGCCTTTAACATCGTTGCCTCCCTTCGGAGGCTCCAGCCAACTCAGGCATCAGAGCCTGTACATCTGTTGTGGCGCCTTCGTCAAGCACGTCAAAGCCACCTTGCACAACTCCATTGCCGCCTTCCGAAGCCAGAAGTGGCTCCTCAGTGACTACGTTTGGTGGGAAGTCTTCGATAAGTTCGTCAGCTTCTCATTACAGATCCCATGCTTCTCGTGATGTTCGACCTCCACTCCTACCCCAATGAGGTCAATGTCAGGGACGCGTCCGGGGTCGAGAGGGCCCGGGGTAATGCCCGGCACTGAGGCCGTCGCGGGGTGTGGAGCGGGCGTGCGTACTGGCGGGCCCGATCCGGGACAGTGGTCCCTGGCCACTCAGACTGAAGTGGAGAATGTGAGAAGAAGGTTACTTCTTCGGTTCCCACTTCAGGTACATTTATGTACATGCGGCTTGAGTCACATGACAGGTGCCACGTCATCCTCGGAGGCAGCCGCAGGCATCCGGGTGTCCCCGTGGGGGATCCCGAGAGCGTCCGCTACATGCGCGCGTGCTGGGCACAGCGGGAAGCTGTCCGGGGTGTGTGGGCCGGACGGGTCAATAGTACATTGATACAAGGGAAGGTGGTCCGTGTAGATAGAAAGAAATAAACAGGAAGAAGAAGATGAGAAGAATGAAATAAAGAAAGGGGAAAGAAAAGGGAAAAGAAGGGGGAGGAGAGGGAGGAAGGAGGGGGGAGGGGATAGACAGCGGGGAGCGGGTGTGGTGTGGCCGGGTGGGCCCGGGTGGGCCCAGGTCAGGCGGGTGTGCCCTGACAGTCAACAAGGGCAGATGATGACTCCGACCCATTTTTATTCTCATCTCATCCACAGGCGGTTGGTTCCGCAAATGTCCTTGCGCTTGACGAAGACAAAAGACCTGATTGATTTGATGAGTAACATGGCTCTATCATTTGCTTCGGGTACAGCTGGTGAGGATGCGCGTAATGCAAATCGCACCGCCGGCATTTTTTATATTTGTTCCAACCCAGAGCTTTCTGCAACTCAGAAAGCGGCACTTCTTGCGATGGGGTTCGGAGTTTCACAAGATGCGATGTCTGAGGTAATCTCTCTTTTTTCCTCGCTTCGGTTCGTACCTCGATAGTGTACGTAATCATGTTTTCATTTATGTCTGTTCATTTTCTCGAATCCTATGGTTTCACTTAATTTGAACCGAGAACTGATCTGGTTGAGGGATCCGCGCCTGTGGCATTGATTTCGAGCTGTTCAGGTTGATCACTACTAACTCGAGGACGATATTGGCACCGAACTGACCTGGTTGAGAAATTGACGCCCTGTGTTGATTTCGAGCTGTTCAGTTGTAACAATATTGTTTATTTTTATTTATTTCGAGGACCGAGGAACTGATCTGGTTGCGAAATTGATGCCCTTCGTGTTGATTTTGCGCTGTTCAAGTTCCTAGTCACCCTCCCCGCCAAGTCAAGGCCGCATCATCTGCATACACACACGTGCCACTCACTGATCAGAAGTGTGACTAACATGTAAGTGGGTAGAATACCCGCAGAACTAGCTTCTGAGTTATCATTCAGGAAAGGATTCGCTCAAAAGGCCCTCAAAGCGAAAGCCACAGGACCAGCTTCTAAGGTTCACTCATCACGTTCGAAGCATTACCAATGTCCCATTGCGAAAGGTCCGGATGGGCCTGTATTTAAGCACACCCTACATGATGATGGTCCATCAAGTCTAAGTGAAGATGAAGGTGCCGGCAGTCAGATCCACTTGCAAATGGAATGCGATGAAATTGAGCCGGAACCTACATGTTATTATGTTATGGTTGATAGAAGATCGCGTCATGCTCGCTGCAGGCTGGCACAAGAGATCCGATGGGACCGTGCTGTTCTACCCTCGCTTATATATCCCTACATGAAATACGTGCGATGAAGCCGGCAGTCTCGCCATTTAGACTGCGATGTATTGCCATCTGATGACGGTTCTGAGACGGATTCCGCATCTGGACATCCCGTCCAACCTCACCAGGTTACAGGCATTTGGATTCACCGGATGCGGGAGATTGTGCTAAACATCTGTGAATGTTGCACTGCTCCCATTCAGCTTGCATCTTATGGTCTCTTCCCTTGTTCCCCGTGAATTCTCAGTTGGCAGTCGGTTTTGACATGCTTGAGTTAGTGTCTGAACTGTTCGTGAACGTGGCTCCCAATGAGAGAGGATGGGCAACTACAATCACGAAATATCTTGAGGTTCGAGGATTCCCATTTAGAAAAGGGGTGCGTGGTGTGGCATCGAATTTGTGTATCACCGGAGCTGACAAAGGTGCAGTTATCTCTACAGCGACGCTTTTCAAATGCGCTCCGCCACTATCAGATGCTTGTCCACCTAGTGGATGCAGAAATTTCCAACACTGTGGAACATTCTCGATGCTACCTCGCCAGCTCTACAACAGGGAATCCTCTCACCAACGAGCATGCCGTTGTGGGGACCGAGCATACCAAAATACCCATTTCAGCGTCCCAGGAATCCCTAGCACGGTCGATTATTGAGTCATGCCTACAGGTCAATCTGGGAATCGCTCAAAAAAGTTTATAGACACCATTTTGTCTCTCAGTCATTCACTTGAATCGCTCAAGGGCCTCCTTGCTAACTTGCGAGCCGAGTTGGGGCTCCTATCTACAGACCCCCTCGGGTCCATGGGTCGTCAATTAGAACCCACGGATAGGATCACAGCTGAAGAAGCATGTGTTCGGCGTATGGAGGAACGCATAAGGCAGAAAGAGGCCAAACTCCGACAAACCTCCCCTCCGATGGTTACCAACCTTGAGAGCTTGCGCTGTGATAAGTGGCTCAACTTTCAGTTAAATCTACGCATTCTGAAGGATCAGATTGTTTCCAAGCTTCATGCAATATCGCAGTCATATGCTTGGTGTGTTGGTATTGATTGTGTTGTCATGTTGTCCTGATAACTGGAAACATCGTAGATCAGAAGACCCAGGATCAGGCTGGGAGAGCGATAAGACATCACGAGCCTGGTATTGTGGCTACTGTCAAACGTTATAATGAGAAGCGGAATGAGATGCTCTGCATGCAGTTGGCAGGCAGCGCTCCTGCGAATTGTGCCGCCGGAGCTCAACACGACAGTCATTTTTGATCTTGATGTCGACGCGGACATTTGGTTAGATGCTAGTGTGGAAGACCTTGGACAGTTCCCAGGCGGTGAAATCTGTCATATCCGTGCATACCCGACCCCGACCCGACTTCCGGACCTCCACCCTCTTCACCTCCGGAGTCATAACCTACCACTGCCGTTCCGATACTCACCTTCGGTCTTGGCAACACACCTCCTTCTTACCCCCCATGCCACCTCTACCCCTCCTTACCTCTCCGACCCTATCTCCGTCCGCTCCGATACTCACCTCGGACCGAACACCGCCCCTCTCACCACCCTCCTACTACTCCTCCTCCTCCTACTCCACTCCCCCTCCGCAACACCTCCACCCTCCTGTCATCCTCCTACGCTTCCCCCATCCTCTCCGATACTCACCTTCGGACCTGACAACCCTCCTCTCCGCCACTCCTTCCCCCTTACCTTTCCCCTCTCTCCTCCCTCTGGTACTCCTCCACCACCCTTCTGCCAAGTTACGACCTTCCGCTGCTGTCCCGTACTTCCTACTCGGACACCGCTCGTACCTTCGCTCCGAGCCTCCGTCATAGTCCCGACCTCGGACTTTGACTCCACCTCGGTCTTAGTCCATTGCATTGGTGACCTCATACTACGTAAACACCATTGCCAATATCCCTCGGACTTTCAACCCCGCCTCCGTAACCTCCGTAAGCTCCGCAACCTCCAAGCTTCGCGGATCGCCTTCGGCACTTTCGCCGCCTGTAATGTATCTCTCGCGTTTACCCCTCATCCCTATTTGGACTACTGCTTCTTCCCATTCTAGCCAGTTAGTCATCATCCCCACTTCTCCTCATCCTCCTGCCCCTCTGGGCCTGCCCTCCCTACCTCCTTTCGGATGTATCACAGGTCCTGCCTTATGACCTTCGGTACCGCTCCGCTCCTTCTTCCCTTTGTCCCCGTTCGGACGTCTTCGTTCCGATTCGGTTCCCCTTTGTCCCCTTGTGCTTTTGCCCCTTCCATTATATATATCAGCGCTTGTACATACTCGTTTTGGTTCAGTCCGAAATCGACCTGAAATGCCCCTAGAGACTTCCTGCTCACCTACTGTGAAATTAAGGACCAAATGGACAAACAGCAATGGCACAGCGCTCTGCTTGAGTCGCTGAGGCCAAGGTCCCTCCACGCTAAGTCTCCGATTCCACTCCGGAGTCGTCTGTATCAGCCCCGTTTCTAACAAAATCCCCAGTTGGCTTGTTGACCCGAGTGTCCGGAGACAAATACATGATGCGCAGGAGTATATTAATTGTCGAGAAGAACTTGAACGTTGCAATGCGGAGTGCTATAATTTGCGAACCTGGATCACTGAACAAGATGCAGCAGTGCAGCATGCGATGCAGATGTGTAGCAGAGGTATGCTCGATTCAGACAGTGACCGTATTTACTTTAATCTGGGCAATTAGACCCCGATGCCTTGTATTGCCTTCGTCTTGTAGAGAAGAGTTTGGTGGCGGTGAAGCATTTGACCACTAGACCATTTGAGTGGACAATGCTGAATCAAATGCCGGTCAGTCCCCTAGTGTTTCTGCCAGCAACACCATCCCCGGTTGTTGCCCACCTACCACCTTCGGACCTGGACATGTCACCTCAACCGCAGCATGAAGTCCTAGGCGTTGAAGATGGATATGATAGTTCAGATGATGACACGGCGAACGGCGAAGCCGAAGCTATTGCCCAAGAGGGGGATTTCACAGTCATTGTAGACCTGGATCGTGCGACGGCGACGTTGGGTGATGCAGGTGGGGAGAATGGCGCCACGGACGGGGACAGTGATGATGAGCTATGGACCTCATAGCTTCCGCAAGTCTTCACTAGCCCCTTCTGGTTGGCGACATCCTTCTCTGGCATCCGTACTGTTCACAATATCTCCTAGTTACGTCGACGAACGCTCCTCGTTGACTTCGAGTGTCGCAACGCCTGTGTCTACGCTCAGGCTCAGAAAGTCAAATTCCTTTTGATAACGGTACCCTCGCGGCAATCCATACCCTTCCTTAGTCGGCGACATTCTTCGTTCGTGCTCACAACCTCGGTACTATTCACGTCGACGTCGACTTCGAGTCCATTGATAGCTGCACCCTCACAGCAATCTGTCCTTCGTCCGCACTATTCGCGACCTCACAATTGCTCACGTTGACAAACGCTCCTCGTCGACTTCAAGTGTCGCAACACCTGCGTCTACGCTCAAACTCAGGCACTGAGTAATAGTAGTCGTCTCAACCTTCGTTCTCATTTCGCTCATATCCCCGAACGACAGAATGCAGACAAGACAATGGTGTCCCTTCGATCATCTGCAGGTCATACTGCCATCTCACACCCATGTAGCATCACAAAGGCCAGCCTGGGTGATCGACCACAACGACTTCGTTGCTCAACATGAACATGACACGTCTTACATGTTCGTGTATTGCGATGGCTCACACTCTGTGCAAAATGGGGTCACAAAGATGGGGTACGGGGTCGCTATTTATTTTGACAGTCAGGAGATATTGGGGAGGGGGTTCGTTGGGACGGGGAGTTTGATGGATGCCGAAATGAGAGGCTTGCAAGGTGCGGCAGCGGAGACGAGCCGCATACTCAAGAATGAGATGCTGGTCCAGGGGGTGACGCGCATGTATATTTTCGCTGACAACACGAACTCCATTGGAAGAATTGTCAGGAGGGTGGGAGGGTGGCCATATAGCAGGAGGTTTAGGAAAATAATCGGTAATCTGTTGTGCTGTCAGAGTGGTGTTGAAGTTGTGGTACAGTGGTGTCCGTCTCATTCCGGTGTGAGGGGGAATGCACGGGCGGACCAACTGGCGAAGTTGTTTGCTTTGTAAATTTATTATAATCTGCACATAAATGGTTTCCTGACAAGATGAATGCGATAATGTATCATACAAAGCGTTGATGATTCATAATTCAGTGGTTAATTCTTCTACTGTTTACATGGTGGACATCGCTGGTTAGTATGTATGGCAACGCAAAATCGAGGCCCTATTGGGCCTGGATCCTGGCTGATTAGGCTGTCTGAGCGCCCCCTGAGATTCTTCACTCAAAGAATTCTTTTTCTCTTGGTTTTCCTTCCATCATCCTTGGTCTGCTTCCTCTTGGACCCCGATAGAGAAGGTGGTAAAGGGGACTGAGGGAGGGTTGCCAATTCGCTGGCAGTCTTTACAGGATACTTTTGTCGAAATCGAGGCCAGCCACCTCCATAAGGTCTGGACAGATCTCGTGGTCTCGATTGATGCTCCCGAGTGAATACCCTCCTGTCTGAAAAGAACGTGATAACCAATCATCCAGCTCCTTCCCAACCCCTGGCTGAGTGAGTGAAGGCTGCACCCCTGATGAAGAAGAGGTCACCTGGGCGAGAGGGGAAGGAGTATCCAAGCTCAGGAAAATGAAGTAGACCCCCCTCATATTCTCCCAAAACGGCCACAGCGTCAAAGCCAGACCAGCATGAATTGGTGTCCTTGTGGTAATCCTCATCCGAGTTGAAAATTACTGCATGACTGACAAAGTGCGACTTCACTGCCTGCAGGTCCTTCTCTTTGTCACGAAACTGCCTAACGTGGTTCCACACTTCCTGCCCACTCTTTGCTAGCTCAGGAGCAAGGCGTTCCATGTAAATATTCGTGGTGTGGTAAACGGGTTCACATTCCCGATGGAATTCCCTGACCGTCTTCTTGCAAACCTGGGCATCGTGACTGACAGTAGGGAAATTGCGCTGAAATCCCATGAGATAACAAGCAGAATGTTAGATATTCAGACTCACATAGCCACCAACACCTTGCCAATATGCAAAGTGGGCCTGACCGCTTTTAAAAAGTGACTTTTTCTTGAAGTGGGGCCTGAAATCAGACTCTTGGAATTTAAATTCCTTATTAAACTTCTCGCTGGCCTTGACAGTGGCATCCTGTATCAAGGTCATAATAAAATCATAAGAAAATGATGGTAATCAACTGACATGGACGTAGTCGAGAGCGTGGGGCAGTCTGATCGCCAGAAGAGTGCCATTTTTATCTTCAATGGCAGCACCTTGAGCATAGTTTAGCACTATGTCCTGTCCTTCTGGCACTGTCGGTAGGCTCAAACGCATCATCTTCTCCTGCGAGCCATTGTCATTGGTGGCCTTGTCGTTGTGCACTGCAACCTCCGCATAGTCGATGTCCACCCTCACTGAGGCAAATCATCAGCAGCATTCATAGGTATATAGGAATTAGCCACGGACCTGTGTTCTTCATGGCTTCAAGGATGACGTTGTCCACATTGTTCTCTGCATGGTGGATCGCCTCCCTTGAGAAATTGCTCTCCACCTTTTTCAGTCGATCATAACGAGCTGGGAGAGACTCAGCACTGTTTTATTTTTAGTTGTGATAACAAAAAGCAACTATGGGCCCACTCACTTGGGTTTCATCAGAAACTCAGTCTTTATTATTCCCAATTTCTTGTATTTATTGGCTTTGGCTCGAGAGCGGTGGGGGCCAGCTTTAGCAGATGAAGCATTGGGCTTTAGCTGTGCTTGGCTTGCGGTTTGTTGTGGCCCAAACGGTGAAGCCGTGGGAACCAATGGCTGAAGGTCGAATCCGGCTGTCACCACCATGCATTCTGGCCCGGATGCCGGCCCCCAACCACCCGCTGTCTCGACTATGACCTCAGTCTTAACCCCTGCTAGGACTCTACAGTCGAACTCGCGCGAAGAACCACCCTCTCTGGAGCTTGGACGCTTTCAGCAGAGAATATTGGGTCCCTGTTTTAGCTCAAACCCGAATTCTGTAACCCTCTGGGGCCTTGGATAGTGCCCGCTATTACAATATCCATTAATCCCTCGATGTAAATAGTGTTGATATTCTAATATGCCCACTCAACGATGATTAACATCGATAACACCCATGTCCTTCGTAAATTTGTCATGTTTAGCCAGCGCGAGTCCCTTAGTGAGAACGTCAGCCACCTGGTCACTTGTTGGAACGTGATCGAGCTTGACGTCGCCATTGCTGATGCATTCGCGGATAAAGTGTTGCCTAACGTGTATGTGTCTAGTACCTCTTTTCTTAGTTTATTGAGATCCCGGTCTATATTGTTGGTTGCTGCTGGAGCGTTTTGGACAAGCATAGTCTGCAAGGTGTTCATGCAAGATGGGAGAGAATGGATGGGTTGCATAGCGATCATCTGGTCTTCGATCCGTCCTCGGTTGCCAGGGACTCGTTTGTTCACCTCGTGGGCGAGGTTCATGAGGCCAGATATGTAGTCTGGGATCGATTCATAATCACTGATCTTCGCATCCCCATGCTTAATTCTTGTGTAGTATTCAGCAGAGGCGCCAGCTACTTGGACGGAGTCGCTGAGGGATAGCCACAATCTTCGGCAAGTATTGCTCTCTCCTTCAACCCACTCTCCGTGCTCAGGCATCGTTTCAGTCAAGCTTTTATCGAGGTAGCCCCCAAGTGTGTCCCATGGCGAATCGAAGATTAATGGACCATCTGTTCCAGTCATCACGTCCCTTCAGCTTGGCAATAGCAAGGACGGCCTTATCAATGGACGACAGACGCATGAACAGATGGTCCATTAATGTGCATTCTTCAGGTCTGATCCAGAACAGGTGAGTGACTGTGGTTCAGAACAATACAGCTCCTTTCTGAGCAATAGTTCAACAATGCCAAATGACTTCTTAGACTGGTGGAGTAGAACTGGGCTCGTAGTTATTCCCGCAACTGCACAGCGTGACACGTCTATTGGTCCGTACCAGGTTCCACTTCCCTGACCGCCAGTGGCATTGGGCTGCTATTCCCAACACGACGATGATTGCCTAAACAATGTGCATGTATCCATTTGTATACGTGTTCATACATGCTGCGTGTATATGTACTGCGCTCTCAGAAAATGTCATGCACCTTCCAACCTACCTATGATGAGTCCGAGCCTACAGAAACTGACGTGAATCGATCTGTAGGTTATTCTTTGGTTTGAACAACCCAATATTGTTGTAACAACCAGCCGAAGGCAGTTCATCTGGTCATATAAAACACGCTCAAAACGTGAGCGAAGGCGTAACGGATAGCGTGACGACGGCCCCGACGGGATGTCGAAGCCTCTTGATTTGAAGCGAGCCGGTAAATACAAAAATGAGAAAAAAAAGGAGGCGATGGGGCAGGTGGAGGGTAACGATGAAGACAACTGAGAGTAACAGCAGAGAAGCACCAACAAAAGAGCAACAGCGTGCAGCGGACGCAAGAGGTGGTGGCTGAGAAGCCAAAGTGTACCGCGGATGCAGAGGAGAAGGCACGGGGCCGAAGTGTAACAGCGGATGCATGTAAAGAGAAAAAAATAAACTGATGTACCGATCGAGCAGCAGAAATCAGAAACAAGGACAAAATCGCATACCAGACAACTAAGAAAAGCTGAACATTGCGGATGAACAGTCTATTAGAAACCACCTCCGCCTAATGCAGGCATTGAGTGTAATGGTAACACACTCTCTGCGGTTCGACTCCCAGAATGTCCATACCTTATGCATTAAGGTTCCCAAGACCATGTGTACAAATTCCAACACAGTCTAAAGGCATAAAGCAATGAATATTGCGTACAGATGAGGGCTCGACCTAGCAAAGGATACCCAGAAGAAAAACTGAGGCGCTGAGGCCTCCATTAAATTTAAACAAGACGCTTCCTCTGTGTGTAAGCGTTATACGGCATTTTCCGCCAGCAGCCTTTAAGTGTCACGTGAGATAAACAACCTTCTGGTGGGGATCCTCTTGCATGTTCTTGCATCTTCGTGGGTTTATGGGTAGGGGTCGCTACCCTACTCGGGTTCGTGGGCAGGGTTTGGCCACCTTGCCTGCTTACCCAGGGCTAGTGGATGGGGTTTGGCCACCCTGTCTGCTTGGCCTTTCATGTTTCCTGAGACCAGAACACCGCCCACCTCGTTGACTGGGGGTGCATACATGTTGCTGGATCAAAGGGTCTTGAGCATGCAAGATGGTCATTTTGCAACATTCGTATGGATTTTCAACAACAACAACAACACTAGTCAACCGTCATCAGGATTCGTTCGGCAAGAAGAGATTCCAACCCTGCACCTTCCCCTTCTACCAACAACAACTAGCTGACATAACGTACAAGGTCATCAAGCACACGAGTCATCTACTGTCCCTCCAGTCACTACCACCTCCACTTCCGACTCGCTTCCCACCAACAACAAATATGTGACACCTAGCACCGTCAACAACGGCCCCGGCACGATGCGACCGCCAGCCATTCATCGAATCCGTCCAACCAGTCCCCCACCTTGAATCGGCACATTCACTCCCTTTGGAACCCATCATTTGCGATATAATTCAGGGCCCATCATTCGTGGGTCGATTCACTGATGGTCAAACAAATGGGAACAATGGTGCTCCGAACACGTTGAATGCATTGAAGATAGCCTTTTGAAGTAAGATTGTTAGTAGGGGACATGGAGAGTGAAGAAGGGGGAAAGGTGAGTTGCTCGTGCAGTTTGTTCATTATTGTTGCCGCCATTGCCCGTGTTTGCCTCAGCGCTGCCGGCGGCATTGTTGGCATGGCCTATTGCTGTCCATTCTGTGTGAGGCGACCGCAGCAGTGGCATTCTTTCCCTTTGTTGTCACCGTGACCACATGTTGATGGGAATCTTCCAACCCCCGAATCACTTCGACTCCCCCAGTTCTTTATTCGTGATACCAAGTCCTCAGGAACGTTCCTAAATCATATCAGACCCGCAAACGCCAACGTTGAGACTCAGCCCTTCCCTTTGAGGGATGGTGATATCATTCAACTCGGGATCGACTAGCATGGCGGTCAGCAAGGTGAGATGTCACTCTGGTGTGGATATGAGCTTAAATGGTTGTCTAGCTGCAAATCTTTCGCTGGTCACTGGTTGGCAGTTGCCGCCCATCTCAAGTATGTTGCCTGTCATTTGGAAATCTAGGAGTTCCATTGTGAAAGGCAACTGGATGTTTCAAGTATGTACTGCGCATCTACTCTGTTGACCAGACAACACACCCCTAGTGCCTGGCCATGTATCTGACGATCCCTTTGTGTATACTGTATGTAGTCAGGATAGTTGCATTGCCATGTCATTGTAGGCCATTTTCTCATTGGGAAACACACTGTTGAGGTGAGTGTCATAATTTATTCACGAGCTCCTCTCATGTATTGCATTTAACTCCCTGCAGTGGTTTCGGTTTTACCTTTCCTTTCTATCCATCTCCCTGGAAGTCCCAATGCCATAAGTCATGGATGAGAGCAACATCCAGGCATTTGTGGATTTCCAGGCGGAAGTCTTCTTTTGTTTATTTTATTTTATTTTTTCACACTTTAAATTGCCGAAGGGATCGGGCATTGGAGTACGGTGGACACAAGGAATAGAGTTAGGAAAAAATGTGTCTCGTCGTTCGGCAGAGTTTTCACGGCCCTTTTTTCTATATCATGTGACCCTAAGCAACTAGAAAGTCCGCAGGTCCCTTCGAAAATCAAAATCAAAATGCCACCACAGATGGTCACCACAGGCTACAGACCCACTCAGGATTAGTCCTGAGGATGCCAAAACACCAGTACTCATAACACTACTATCCAAACTCTGAACCAGACGGCATTACATCGTTACAGTTGTCTCATCATGTTATTAGTCTAGCTACTTATACCGCAGCAAACCAGCATGGAAGACATTTTGACTGACTCGGATCTGTGGGCGTATGTAGAAACCGGTTACACACTGCCGACCGATGCGACGGAGAAGGCCAAAGTGGAGAAGGCGCAATGTAAAGCGCTTACACTGATTCATCTGCAGGTCACACCTTTCATACACACGTTTGTCGTTGACGCTCAGATACCTGAAGCGGCCTGGAAGACCCTCAAAAGGGAATTTGAGGTGACCCGTGCCACATCTCGTATATTCCTTCGCCGGGAGCTGTATACCACTTGCATGGCAGAAGAGGATGACCTGGACATGCATGTCTAGAAGATGCACAAGATCTATAATGATTTGCACATAGCTGGTGATAACTTGCAGGACTCAGAGTTTATCATGGCGCTGCTGATCTCACTCCCCACATCCTGGGATAGTTTTGCAATTGAGCTGAAAGACCTCGATTCGTCGGACACCACAGTGAAGAGCACCGCCAATGATTACAATACTAGCTGCGATCAAGGGTGACTCTGCACCCAAAGGTCGTACCTGGCAAGAATGGCACTGCGCTCTGGGACACCTGAACCCATCCTCGCCCAAAAGAAGGCTCTTGGAGCGGTTGAAGGGATGGAAGTCGCACCCGAGTCCACTTTGAACTTTACGTGCAAAGCGTGTTATTCAGCCAAACAGACCACCAAGCTGTTCCCCAAGGAGTCGAAGTCTAAATACAAAGAAGTAGGTGACTTGATCGTCACCGATGTCTGGGGTCCAGTGCAGGTTCATGGCAAGGGTGGGTTCCAATACTTCATTACTTTTACGGATGTCGCCACCCGTTTCAGCATCGTAGCGTTCCTTTGTCAGAAATCCAAATCTGTCACTCAATATTGCCGTTTTGCCGCTCGTATCCAAACCCAGTTTGATCAAAAAATCAAAGCTATCCGTTTTGATCGTGGCATCGAGTTTCTCAACGATTCGATGAAGTCTTTTCTTGCTGAACAAGGGACTATGTACACGACAACCACTCCCCATTCCTCCACACAAAATGGCATTGCTGAGCATCTGAATCGGACAATTCTGGACCACTCGCGTGCTATGTTGTTTGACTCCCAACTCCCCAAATCCCTCTGGCCCTATGCTGTGTCATATGCCACCTTCCTTAAAAACCGTACCCGACGCGCATGCTTAATGGCCAAACGCCATATGAAGCTTTCTTTGGTAAGAAACCGAGTGTTGCCAACATCCACACATTCGGGTGCGACGTCTGGATCCTTGACCAATCAGGTAAGAATGGGAAGCTTGATCCCCGTTCTAACAAGTACCAGTTCATAGGGAACTCAGAGGAGACCATCGCATACTGGTATTACAAGACCAACGGGGAGGTTGCAAAGTTGCGGAACGTCATTTTCACAAGTTCCCCTCCTGCAAGTCTGCTGACTCTCCCTCTCCCTCTGTCACCTGAGGGGGAGCTAGTTACCCACATTCCCAATCCCAGTATTCCACATTCCTTTCCACCACCTACAAGTCGAGGTTCCACTCACCTATAACGACACCATGAACAGACCTGACTCCGATGTGTGGCTCGAAGCCTGGGATGAGCTACTATCCCTCAAGGAAACCCGGATGCATGTTCCAGTTAAAACTGATGAGGTTGAGGTTCGTAATGTCGTCGGGTGTCGTTGGGTATTTGCGTTAAAGAAAAAGGCTGATGGAACAATCGAGCTAGGATTGTGGCCAAAGGTTTTGGTCAAGTTTATCACATCGACTTTGACGAGACCTTCGCACCTGTTGTCAAGTGGGTCTCAATCTAGATTCTACTCGCTATCGCTGTGCGGCTCGATCTCGAAGTCCA